ATACATATACATTTGTACATAAATATACCTATTAATATATATAATAAAATATGAACATACGTACAATCGTCGCTAAAATAAAGCTCGTTTATATTATTACAAGCTGCTCCCACGACTTCGTTCACGTGGAATTTAACTTTATTTTTCTAAAACAAAAGTAGCCCAAAGAACTAAAAATTATTTTGTTCGTCTTAATTTATTCGTTCCATTAGGTACTGATAGGTTCAAACTAATACATTTACATCCTGCATCATCCCTTATGGGGATAAACCCCATGGGGGTTGAATTTATCAAAATCCTATTTAAGCGAACGTCTTCATCATAGTAGCTCCAATCTTTAATTTTAGTTCAATCAGTCGAAAATCTAAGAAAATTTATACAAACTTTCATCCCCTATTTTATCCCCTTAGGGGTGGAATTTATCAAAATCCTTTCTTAGAGGATGCCTACGTCATAGTAGCTTTATGCTTGCAAAGTCTCAGCCCGATCGATTTAAAATTGACAAAGTTTCATACAAATTTTCATCCCTTATTTTATCCCCTTGGGGGTAGAATTAATTAAAATCCTTTCTTAGCGGATGCCTACGTCATAACATCTACCTGCACGCCAAATTTCAGCCCGATCTGTCCAGTGGTTTGGGCTGTGCGTTGATAGATTACTAAGTCAGTCACGTTTGAGTTATATATATTTAAATTTCGCAATACCTGGTAAGTACGAATGTAAATTCGTATTCTAATTAAACAATAATTTATTCATATACGACATTATAATTATTTATCCAAGCCAGGTATTGTTTCCAACACACTTTATAGCAACATTGTGCAAAGTCATATTATGCTATACGTTTTCAATACACACGTTAGAAGTTTTTCTTTTAAATTGTATTATGTTATATCCAAATATGATATGATTAAGATCATATTAGTATTAAAACCAAACTATTTAACACCTGCATTTTACCCGTCCTTATGTATGGATGCCAATCATGGACTTTAGGCCATGAAGTGACAAGTAAACTCGCAAGTTGTCGCAATGGTCGCTCGCAATGGTCATATGCAGAATGTCAAGAGATCAGACAGATTGAAAAACTACATCATCCGGAATAAAACAAAAGTTACAGATATAAATTTGAAAATTAAAGGACTCAAATGGGGATGAGCAGGTCATATAATAAGAGGATATGATAAATGGAGTAAGAAAGTGACAAGATGGTATCCCAGGGAAGGAAAAAGGAAGAGGCAGACCCCACACAAGATGGGATGATGATATTAGGACAGTGGCAGGAGTAATGTGGAACAGAGTGGCACAAGAAAGAGAAGAATGGAAACGATTGGAGGACGCCTTTGCCGATTGGCAAACAGATCTACAGACATTAAAAAAGATCCAAATAATAGAATAATTACTTCGTTTTTAAGTTTTAAAGTTTTATGTGTGTTTTAAAATAATGTATGAGTTCAAAATCAAATCAAATAATGTTTAATCATCATCATTGCCTTGCCTTTATCCCATTATTTGTGGTCGGCGCAGTATGTCATTCTCTTCCACTGCTCTCTATCGGCCGTCATATCTGAACATACTCTTCTTTTATTCATATCATCTTTCACACAATCCATCCATCTTTTCTTAGGGCGTCCCCTCCCTTATACATCCATCCACATTCATATTATACACTTTTCATAAGACATGATCTTCGTCTTCCGCATAAAATAAAAATAAAGGCTATAATAATAATAATAAATGTTATATCCAGAATGATTACTATTGAACCATAAATAAGCGTATTTACTATTGAACCATAAACAAGCGTTGCATCAATATTCCTCTGATATCCAATATAAATTCCTCTACCTCATACCAACAAAATCAATAAGCCCTAATTTCTTTCCTCTGGCACCATATCCCGCGTTTTATGACGCCGCGGAATAATGCTTGCGACATATGCAAAATCTACTTTGTGCGTCAGCTTTTCCTTGATTCTTTTGCTTTCCTATTTCTGTAAGATTATTTGCATTGACTTTAACAAAACTCTCTTGAAAATAAGCTTGTATAAATTAGAGATGTGCTAACTCGTAATAAACATGACTCGAGTTAACTCGAGTTGAAATTCAGGTAACTCGAGTTACCTGAAATAATTTATTTTATATTTTTAGAACATTTCTAATGTTTTTGGGCGCAGCTAGCCTTGAAAGCTTCACCGAACTATAGGGGGCGAGTAGAAATGGCACTTTGAAGCCGCGGAAGGACTTATGGAACGCATAATAATTTTAATGATAACCTAATCGGACGAATATGTTTTTTTAATAAATAGAGTGATTCAAGAGGAAGGTTTATATATATAATACATGTACACCCGCGCGAAGCCGGGGCGAGTAGCTAGTTATTGATATGATTAACCGGGTCTTAACACGAATGATTTTATGGCAAATAAAGGTATTTACTTCTCTCGACGTTTCGACCAGGTCAGTCAGCTCAGTCAGCTCTGACTGGTGCCATAAAATTATTAGATTAAATTATTAGACGATGTTTGTTACTTTTTCATGCAAGAACTACTGAACGGATTTTGATGAAACTTTACACATAGGCTATAAATTACATGCGAGTGAAAACGCGGGCATAGCTAATTTATACTAATATAATAATAATAATAATAAAAACATAATTATAATAAATTATCCATCCTCATCATTCATAATTTATACTGTCATTGTTTGGTGATTTTTACCCGCAATGATCAGTCTATTACCCCATCAATGGGAGATATATAATATATATATAAAATAATAATAATAATAATCTTTATTTGTCTCAAACAAAAGCTTTCCACACAATACAACTGTTGCCCATACAATAATATAATTTAAAACTAATGAATGAGACAAAACGGTCTATAACTCAGTGAGGGCAGTGAGTCCACCCTCTCTGCTATTCTGTTATAGCCTTTATCAGTAAAATACAATGTGAGATCGACGACGACGATAGCATATTAAGTTTTAAACTACAACTAACAAAGTTATATATAAAGCTCAAGAGTTTGTTTGTTTGAACGCGCTAATCTCAGGAACTACTAGTTCGAATTGAAAAATTATTTTTGTGTTGGATAGTTCATTTGTCGAGGAAGGCATTATGCTATATAACATTACGCTACGACCAATTGGAGCGGAGCTACAATGAAAAATATTGTAAAATGAAACACAGACGAAGTTGTGCAGGTCAGCTTGTATCTTCTAAAGCTACTAACGGGTAAAGGAGGTCCCGAGAATTGTTTTACTTTGGCTACTGACACGGTTAATTCGACACCGAATCCGAGTTCAGCCAAGCGTTTGACAGGGCGAGCACAAAGAACAATTATCCTCCATTTCTATTATATATACATAAAAGCAACAAATAATTTATTTCCTTGGAGATATTAATTCAAAATCACTCATTACTAAAAGCCTTTTGATTTTCCAAGCGAGAGGTGAAATGTAAAATGGAGTTTGTTACAGCTTTATGTCAATATTTAATTAATTTTGGAAGTAAAAATACAAACACCAAATTTTATTTATTTAGTTATTCTTTATTGGACGTAAAAATTGTACAATTTGGCGAGCATAATGCCATATGAATTCTCCACCAGCTAACCAGTAGGTAAGAACAGAAAGCGGTTGATGGCCAGTGGTGGGAAAGGACAAATCTATAATTTTACCTGACATAGGTAAATACATCTTCCAAAATACTTACAAATATATGTACATAAAAATAAATATATACCTATTATTATACATACAAGACATAATAATATTATAGATATTTACATATATATTATGACAACAATATATAATTAAAAACTGTTTTGTTCATTTAGAAGATAATAAAAAAAAATCCGTTTGAAAACAGGCTTACTCTGTTCTCTACGCAGGGCCACAGGCAATCTATTCCAAAGACTAATAGCGATGATAGTAAATGAATTACATAAATCCAGAATGGCGTGAATTGCGAGATGTGGGAGTTGAGAGAAGGAAGTGGGCCGAAAGAAGATTAAGAGAATGGGTAAATGAAATGGTAAGAAAGTTCTTTTTTAGGTTACGGGTGTAGCCCTAAGTCTGCTGACCGTGACGACGATGGTTTTGTCACGGTACAAAAGAAGAGGCGCACAAAGAGGGTCAATCGAAACCATTGTGGCGCAGCACCGACTGGGCCCAACTTCTTGTTGCGGGCCGCAACACCGTCCGAAGCTATGTACCTGTCTCGCCTATACTACGACACCAAGAAACAGGATATTGTGGACTATATCCGGACCAAAAGTAACCTAACATTGAGGGTGACGCAGATAGAATCGAGTCACAACGCGAGCTTCTAAGCGTTTGCAGTCCGGGTCTCCACCAACATGCTGTCCACTTTCATGAAAAAAGACTACTGGCTTCGGCCAGTAGTCTTTTTTCATGAAACCTGTCACCACACTCACTATGGCAGATTGCCATAGTGAGTGTGGTGACCATAAAGACAATATTATTATTTTAGTTTATATTTAATTACTATACAAGTATGTTATTAGTCTGTAAGGTATAATATTAATTCATATGTATGTTAGTGTATAAGGTATTTATAATATGAGTCTAGTAGCCAGAACAAAATAAAGAATTAAAAAAAAATACCAAGAAAGTTGACGGCCCAATTGACATATCTCAACCATACCGAAACATATCTTCCAAAATAAGCGTGACTGAAATAAGTGTGACGGAGTTACGAAATCGATTTTCTACAAAGCCTATCTTCCATCTAAATGTATCAGGCAGGAGTTGACCTTCAGCCGCTTCATAAGTCCTTCCGCGGGTTTGGAGTGCCATCAGCACTCGCAATCGCCGGCCAACATCATTAGAGTAGTCCGGAAAAAAATACGCTAGTCATCTCGTGACCAAGGCTAGTGTAATCAAGTCCAAACGTTGAGAACGTGGAAGGAAAAACAATTCTAAATGTAATACTATAGAGTACATGTTAGAGATTCTTAAATACTAACTCACCTCTTGTCAAAGTCGTGAAGATCCTCCGAAGTGAACTGACTAGTCACGTCCAACAGCTGCTGTATATGATCGCTGCAGACTCTACTCTTACGTCTTCCGTCCTCGTCCCTCACGAGGATAGTGGAGCAGCCTCCATAATCGAGGGAGAGAGACGGCTGTTGGACCACGATGGTTGTACGACCGGCTGGTATTGTAGTTGCCGCTGAATCTAGAGGATTGGCCGTGACGTGGACTTGAGCCGCTGTAGAAGATATAAAGATAGATTTAAATCGAAAGAAAAAATGGTACGGAGAAAATTTATCACTTGTTTGGTGCTAGAAAGGCAAACAAGCTGATGGTCCATTTGATAGTAAATAGAAGTAACTGTCATAAATCAACATGAATGCTAATGACACACTTCATATGATGGGTCATGATTTGTAGCCTATAATTTATGATCGGCCTCGGTGGTCTAGTCTAGCACACCACCTTCTTTCCGATGATCTCGGGTCGATTCCTCGCAGGGCACAAACATTTGAATTCATGGGTATGATTTTTTCTGCATATTTTCCGTATAGATTGCGTATGTATTTACAAAAAAAAAGAATATAACTATACAATTACATCAATTGTTAGAACCTATAACACAAGCTCTGCTTAGCTTGGGCCTAGATAGCGCTGTGTGAATTGTCCCGAGATATTAGAAACATAAAAAATATGATCATAACCACATTTCTATTTTCATACTATAACTTAGAATCTGAAGGAAAGTCATCTAATAATATGAACAGAAATATTCTAGAACAAACGTGTAACGTACCTGTTGATTGTCTTCTTGAAGAAGGCGGTGGAACGGAATGCTGGTGTGCGGAAGACCGTCTTCTAGTTGTCGTAAACACCTCCGTCCCTTCCAACTGCCGTCTCAGCTTCGCAACTTCATCCTTATAATAATCCTGTTTATCCAGCTTCTGTTTATTCTTCATCCTCGGCTCACTGCCTCGCCTTTTAACGGGTTCAGGTTCAAATTTGAAATGTGTTTCGTATTTTGATTGATTGGCCTTTGGGCTTTTGGGAATCTCCATTTTGGGATCGTAAGGTATTTGGATAGACGTCGATGGCCCACTGGTCAGATTCACTTGTGTTTTGTTCCGCTTTTTCTCGAACCGCTTTGGGTCCGGTAAAGGAACATCAAAGACGAACCTGGCTGGGCCTGGTCTTGGAGAATCTATGACGTCAGATGCTGACTGAGGTTTTGTATAAACTGGAGAAACCAGTTCGCAGCTGTTCTGAGCTCGATGGTAATGTGGTGGGGCCGTGCTTGGTGGATTTTGAGAGGGTTCTGAGTCCATGAGGCTTGGAGGTTGGGATGGCAACTCAGGGGGTTCAGGCTCAGCGTCCATGGAGTCGTCAGTCCCCGTGATGGAAGTGAGGGCAGTGGCAGCGGAGTCTGTGCTGGTGTTGATCGTTTTGTCTGATGTCGTGCTGCTGCCCATGACGACCACCTGCTGGAAAATGATATTTCTTTATTAATATTGGTATTCTTTTGATCTTTACTAGCGTGAATATAATCTCAAGCGCTCTTTTGAGATAGGCCATGGAACGGATTGTGGTATAATAAAAATAAAGAAAGAGAAAGAGACACTGATTTGTGAAAAAAAAGAGAGAAAGAGTAAGAAACATGTGATTTTATAAGAAAAGAAATCACTAGGCTATTACACTGATTTGTGAAATTCTGTTACTGTTTCAAAGTTACATTATTCCAGACTGTTTTATTGTAAACTAGCTACTCGGCCTGGTTTCGCCCGGGTGTACATGAATTATATATATATGAACCTTCCGCTTGAATCATTTTATCTATTACAAAAACCGCTTCAAAATCCGTTGCGTAGTTTTAAAGATTTAAGCATACATAGGTACGGCCAGATAGCGACAGCGACCTTGTTTTGTACTATGTAATGATGATATTATATTAATATATTATAAGAGAAAATCCTTCATTCAAATAAACTTAAATTCAAGCACTATTGAATAGTCATAGTTATTTTTATTTCTTTCAGATAGTTGGTTAATGTACTTAGAATTAACATTTATGAACGCATGGGTGAGTCCTGGGCGAGTCCCTATTTTGTGTACTTATGTTTTACGGAAATATTAAATTTAAAACTAAATTGGTACAATTCATCGCTGCTTTTATAAAGATTTTTCTTTCTCTATCATAATAAAGTATACTTCAAAGTTTGTTACTTGAATTGATTATCATTACATAGTATACAACAAAGTCGCTGTCGCTGTCTGTCCGTACTTAAATCATTAAAACTACGCAACGGATTTTGAAGCGGTTTTTTTTTATAGATAGAGTGATTCAAGAGGAAGGTTCATATATATAATGCATGTACACCCGTGCGAAGCCGGGGCGAGTAGCTAGTAAAGTATAATTCAAAGTTTGTTACTTGAATTGGTTCATTTATATATAATTACTATAAATATGGAAAATGGTGTGTTTAAAGCTTTTTTTTCTATAGTCGTCATTGAAATTCTTGTTTTATCTGTACTAGAATATGCACGTATTATAAATATAAATCTTCCTCATGAATCAGTCTATCTATCGCTGGCAACTGCATTAAAATCTGTTGCATAATATAAAAGATATAATATACAACCGAAGGGACTTCATTTTATAGTATGTTGAAGATCCGGTAGAGATGGTACATTTGTATATCATAAGAGTCTGTAATAGACCTATATGAATAAAGATATTTTGAATTTGAATTTGAATTTGGATCCATTTTTAGTTGGTGGTCACTCTAATTTGAATGTAACTTTGTTTTATATTATTATATATGAATAAAGATATTTTGAATTTCAATATGAATTTGAATCTATTTTTATCTGGTGATCACTCTATTCTCCCAAAATTTAATATAACTTTGTTTTATATTATGTAAAGATGCGAGAATCGATCCTGCGACCATTTGAAGGGACAGAAATTAATCTTGTTTTACAACTAAATTGCAATGTTGGTAATAAAATTAAAACTTTTCTTACGGCCACATTTTCCCCGTGCTTGAAGTTAAATTCAATTCAGTCTCACGTGATAGTCGCTGTTAATTCCACATTTTATCTACCGCCACTTACGTTCACGACCTCGGTGGTATAGCGGTCCAGCACACCGCTTTACGTCCAATGGTCGCGGGTTCGATTCCTCGCACGGCACAAACATTTGTACTGGTCTGGGTATTTTCTATGTATATTATGTATGTATTTACGAAAAAAAAATTGATTTAAGTATTTGTATCAGTTATCTAGTACCCGTAACACAAGCTTTAGCTAGCTTAACTTGGGACTAGATGGCGCTGTGTCAATTGTCCTGAGATTATTATTATTATTACTTACTCACCTGTATGTAATTTAGTCCTAATGGGATTTGGATGGTCAATGTTTCTATAGAAAATTCAAGAATAGAATAGAATAGAGCAGCGTAGCGTATAGTAGAATATCGTAGAGTAGAATAGAATGGAATAAAAAAGAAAATCTTTATTCAAATAAATTTAAGCTTTAAAATTGTCATCACATTTTTTTTAATCTACCGCTCATTCGGAAAGCTGTCTCATCACAAGAAGAATGAGCAAGAAACTTGCGTGTTGCTCTTTTAACTAATTGTTGTAATAAATACTAAAAGACACTAATTTATTAGAGTCAAATAATAAGATTAAAACAGTCATAGTGATTAGAGCAGACCAGTCCTTACAAGCAGCACTCGTTCACGAGTATGACGTTTGAGCCACCCATCACTGCGCTCACTACAAATCGCATGTTCTATTCCTCGCAGTACACAAAAATTTGTATTCATGAGTATCATTGTTTGTATCGGTCTGGGTGTTTTCTATACATATTATGTATGTATTTACAAAAAAAATGGATTTATGTATTTGTATCAGTTATCTGGTACCCGTAACACAAGCGTTTGATAGCTTAACTTGGGACTAGATGGCGCTGTGTGAATTGTCCTGAGATTATTATTATTATTTACGCTGTCGTCGAATTTTCTCAGCTTTTGCTGGTTTTTTTTCCACGCTTAAGTGGCTAAAACCAAGTAAGTGCAGTGTGTGTGTGTATTATTATTATTTTCCCTCTCAACTTTCGCCGGTAATCTTGGTATGTACGGGCCTAAAGCCAAGTACATAACAATGTTCTATTTTTAGGTAAATATACTATATATATATATATATATATATGTAATATTAAGTTATCTGTGCTATAATATAAATGTTGGCCTAATCTGTTTGTAGAAATTTTTCTAGCAATGCGGCATGTGTTTAGAACTACAGTATTATTATTATTTTTATTATTATTATTATATATATATATTTATTATATCTCCCTTTTTACGGGGGTAATATATTCAAACACGCGGGCCTTAGCCAAGAATGGATGAGTTATGTGATGAAGATAGAAATTTTCTGACTATTCGGCATGTGTTTAGTATGACGGCTTTTTGTAATAGGTCTATTGTAGAGGAGGGGATATGCAACGTGTCTAGGTGTTTGTTCAGACTTTTTGGTATAATTCCTGTGGATGACAAAACTATGGGTACTATGTGGATGGTGTGTGCTTTCCATTGTTTTTTTAATTCTATTACTAGATCTGTAAATTTTGTTAGTGTTTCATTGACTGTGCTTTGTATATTGTGTGTGTTTGGGATGGCTATATCTACAAGATATACTTTTTTATTGATTTTCGTCGTGTAATGTTATGTCGGGTCTATTGTGATGTACAGTTTTGTCAGTAATTATTGTTCTATCCCAGTACAGTTTACAGTGATCATTTTCTAATACATTAATAGGGCTGTATTTGTAATATGGAACTTTGCTTTCTATTAATTTATGTTTATGTGCTATACATTGATGTATAATTGTAACAACTTGATCATGGTGGTGCTTATAATCATTTTGAACTAATGTCTTACAAGCACCCGTGATGTGTTGTATGGTCTCGGAAACACTATTGCAATGCCGGCATAAATCATTTGCCAAATTTCTGTCTTTTAAGATGTGTTTTGTATAGTTTCTGGTACAAATTATCTGATCCTGAATTGCTAACATAAATGCTTCGGTCTCTGGGAAGAGCTCACCGCGTTTCAGCCATTTGCTCGACGCATTCCTGTCGACATGAGATTGGCATAGATCCGCTCTGTGTCTTCCATGAAGAGACTTTTTTCTCCAGTTGTCTATTTTTTGGTCCTTATTCATAATGTGTTCATTTTTTTGTTGTCATGTAGATTAACAGGTGTACATTTATTGTCAATATTTGTTGCCTGATAATATAATGATGATTGTTCTGCTTTATGATAAAAATATTTTCTTAGTGAATGTATTTGTTTGTTATGAAGGTTTTGTATGTCGATGAGTCCTCGTTCGCCTTCTTGGCGTGGTAATGTGAGTCTTTGAGTGCATGATTTCGGGTAATGTTTTCGATTTTGTGTCATGTGTGTATTATTATTATTATTAAATGAATAACTACATATTACACATTTAACACGATAACAAACGGGACGACGTGATAAGGATGTAAACGCACAGTGTTGTACCGATCGGGCGATATGAAAATGTATTCAGTACATTTACGTACCGGGCTTCCTTCAAAAACTCATTTAATGTCACCATTTACCTATAATAAAAGAGCACGGTGCGAGGTACGAGATGTAGCGATTTGTATAATATTTTATTATGCAAAACTAGCTGACCACGCCACTTCGTCTGCGTGGCATTTAACTTTCATTTTTCTGAAGTAAAAGTAGCTTAAGTTATTTCTTATTACATCAGCTACCTGTCAAAAAAAGTCCTGTCAAAATCGGTCCAGCCATTTCATAGATTAGCCAAAACAAACAGACAAACAGACAAAAATTGAAAAAAATGTTAGTTTGGTGTATGTACCGTATTTATATTCATATGCATGTAGTAAAAGACGGTTATTTCAATATTACAAACAGACACTCCAATTTTATTTATATGTATAGATCTATAGATATCTGTCTCCTTATTCTGAAATTTCACTTATTAATTGGTATCCTCAGAATCATGGACATCAAAATATGGCCTTAGTGCTGTTTAAGTAATATATATTGACTATTACTTTCTATCAAGAAGATAGGAAAGAGGAATAGCATAGATAAAGAGGGGGAGAAGAAGTCCAAGGCACAACTACATCAAGCAAATGATAGACAGTGATATCAAGGTTTAAAGAGTATGATGGAAGATCGTAGAAAGTGGCAAGAGCTCCACCGACAGGGCGCTGCCCTTAAATTTATAAATGAATGAATTACTTCCTATCAGTTTTACCATTCTTGTCACAAAAAAGGACCTGATAACCCGTGTCAAAGGTTTTACGGATACCTAGTACAGGCACCAGTTCTCCACAAATCTGTATTTTAGCATGGAATTTTATATGCTTCAAAGAGTTTTCAGTTCATATTATGTATGTTTTGTGGAGAAAAAGAAATATA